CAATAAACATTTTTTTAAGAAAAATAATATAAAATTTAATAATAAACAGAGTATCGCAAACTATGTTGCGTGACGCTATTAGATACGCACAAACACCGCTAGTGCGATTTACCTCTTAGTTCACTACACGGATGACTTGCACATCTCGTGTAGTGCAAACTTTAAGTTGCAAGTCACGGGAAACCACTCACTGTCAACTAGTATTACAACTTCATTGTTTAACGTTACTTTAGCTTTTTATATGGTGTAAGAGTTTAAGCTAGTAAAAAGGCTATAATAAATAGCACGTTACTATTATTAAAACACATATCGAAGTAACTCATTCGGTTCGTTCAATTCAAGTTTTTGTAATTGATTAGTGAATCAAAAATGTAATCACAATTTAACTAATATCTAAGTGTATGGATTTGAAGGAGGATTTAAAATTAGATTTCGGAAATTTTAAATTCGTTTCGATAGGTTACATAAGAAAATTTTCTAATCTCATGCCCGAAATATTATCACTCAGTATTTTGATTAAATGAAGCAAATCGATTTACTCAAGTAATTAATCGATTTGTAGTTGGCAGTACATTTAGCCATCACTAAACTGTCTATGGTCGGGTCAATGGTCGGTTTGTTTACTTTTCTGGTACAATGGATTGGAAGACTTTAGTAAAAACATCATGTCATTCAATGTAATGAATTCAGCAAATTATTAAAAAAATATATTTAAAATATCAAAATTGTTTAATCTTTTACCCATTGACTTACAATTATATGGACGTCGGGTCCGCGCTAAAAAGTGTCAGAACTTATAGGGCGTTAAAATCGTATACAGAGCGTCATTCACGCTCTAGTCTTCGTTTGTTCAACTGACAGCGAAGCAAGCAAAATTAGACAGTACTGCGATGACATTACAATTTAAATTCAACGTTTTAGCTTTTTCATATTCCTTGACATGTCACTACGTTTAAATAGGTTGACTTGGGACATTTTTTTCGTGGTTTTATGGTATTAGACCCGTCGTCCATTTATTTGTAAGTCAATGCTTTTACCCATTCAATCCTAGTGTCTTTTTACTAGCTTGGTTGAGTTAAATGGAGCCTCAACACGATATTGTACAAGGGCTATCAAAGTTCTGTGACTATTCTAACTCTACAAGGAAAGTTCAAAAAACAGATTCACTACTCTATTTCTTGACTAGACGAGGCTTTCACTTTACTTTCAACTCCGTACAGGTGCAAACACAATTGCTAAAAAGTACAGTCGAGTTAAAAAGTCCGTCGAACGTGAGAGGCATTCGTACAGTCGGGGATAGAAGTCTATCTCACTTTCAACGATCTCACCTCGCACAAATAAAGTAGCCGAGTTAAGATGGAACATTGAGCTAGTAAATATCAAAAATATGGATATGGCTCAATATCTAGTGTCATTGGTGTTGCGTTTACATGAGGCAGTAACCGGCACATTTAACAGGACAAAAAATAATACGAAGAAATGAGAATGTAAAATATTGACGTTTATATTTAAATAAATAAAATTTAGATATAAAATAACAATTGTATTAACTGTTGACATAGACTTAGAACATACCTACTGCCTTGTTTAATATTTATTGAAAAATATCTAAACTAAACAAACTGCATATGTGACGAAAAAGAAACGGCTGAAAATTAAAAAATAGTAACAGTTTAATTGTTTAATTAATTTTTTTATAAATAAAATAACTAAAGATTATAAAATTTACAAGAACGTAAAATCAACCTCCACTCACTCGACAAATCTGTGTTAGTAGGAAATTAAGACAAATGAATGAAAAAACTTACAGTCGACTAATTTTATATTTTCGAATTAGACCTAAAATAAGCAAGTAAAACAACCGACCAGATTTTAAAAAAGATAACTGCATTATTTTGGGGATTTTTCCAGTATTCCACTAAATGGCCGGTGTGTGTATATTTTGTAGACGTCTGTAATGTGAAAGTCTTTTTATTTTTACCTCGTATAGATGGGTATCTATACGAAGTAAAAAATAAAAAGACTATTGTTGACAGTCGTTCTCAAATAGTCATATGTATTATATGCTTCTATAATAAATTGCCTTTTAATTTTATTATTAAAATTTTGCAACGGCTTGACAAACATCCATGCGAGTAATACGTTTAGCTCTTTGAGTTGACCTTAAAATAAATATTTCAAATGATAAATGTGGCACATTTTCATAATGCATCCCTTAAAGTATGTTACTTGTTTTTTTCAAGGAAATCTGCTTTACGAATGAGTAGTAAACAGTGTTCCATCAAATTCCACGATCAGTGTGTACCACAAGATTACAAGGAATGTTATCGCTAGCGGCCGCGTAAATTATTTTACTTTAAGAGCTAATAGTACCCGTCTACATATACATACATAAATACAACTTTAAATTTCGGAATCCTTCACACATCCTGAAAATAAATCAAATGTTTCTTAAGAAAATTGGACTAACCTAGTTGGTTATTTTTCGTTGCGTGACATCCTTGTCGATAAAGTTATTGATGTCGATGAGTTTTATCATCTATAAAGGACAGTAATAAAATGCCACCTTATATATTTTTACATCTCCTAGGTGTCATCTTATAAAAACTACAAAGTTGCTAAAGATCTCCTGCTATCTTATGACATCCAGGAGATGAAATGGGATCATCATCAATTCATGTGTCCCACTTTTGGGCACGTATATAGTTTAAACCTCTTTCTTGAAAAGTAGTCATTTGACGGATATGCCCTAATTACACTAAGTGGTTAAATTTCTACATACCGATAACCGGTACCGGAGCTTTAGGCACGCGCACTTCCCTTTGCGCATTGCGCAACTAACGGTTCAAACCGGGTCATTCTTCGGTTCCTTTTAAATAAGTTTTGAATTTAGTGACTCTCTTTACCGACCCTTAGGGTATACGACAAAGGCACTATAGCCTGTGCGCCGGGATAGTTGCTTCTGCTGTACCAAGCACAAGTCCGGTCGTGTATAGAGTAATGCTGTCACCTATGGGATGTTTCTGCTAAATACCAACGGGTCAACTTGGACTCAGTTGAAAAGCGTGGCAAGAGGCTTACACCTGTAAATTTTCTGGTGGGTGTTCTGGAAAGTGCCCCAGAGTGAATTCTGTTGATCTGGAACTCATAGTACAGGGAATTCCCTAGTTTGAGCCCAAGCAATTGGTGTGATTATTTGATACAAAATTATTATTCATCATCAGCCGATAGACGTCCGACAGTGGACGTCTATCGGTCTCTCCCCAAGAACACCAATTGTTAACATTAATCTGACTTTATTTTCCAAAAATAACATATATAAAAATGCCACATCCGAAACTGCTTGCAGTTATTATTTATTCCCTGTTCGTGTGATCATCAGTATGCACCTCGCGACTTCTAAATGCCGGACCAAAGGCTATACTTATACCAGTTTAGTGTTGCCCCCGCTATTGTATTACTGCCATTTCTACTGCCTTTAGGCATTTGAATACATATTCAATCGAGTTAGTCAATGGTTATGTTTGTTTGTTATTACGAACTCGGACAACTTTATTGACTAACTAGCTTCTACTCGTGACTTCGTCCGTTAAAAAGTACCAGAGTTATTATCAACTTAATTTCTATCAATTATCATAGTAGCAGTACTTTCTTGAGAAAAAGTTCGTCCAGGGAAGTACGGCCACCTTACCTATTTCTGCCACCAAGCAATAATGTGAGCATTACTGCGTTCCAGTTTAGACGGGTGAGGGTGCTGATTAAATTACAGGTACTTGGGACTTGTCAACTTATGTCTCAGGGTGACGGGAGCAGTGGCAGTGCCAGTAAGATCTTTGCGATGTAAAGTTCTGAATGTCACTGTAACTGTTATGGACAGGCATGTCACTTACCACAGGCGCACACCTTGTTCGTTCCGCCACTTTGTATCATAAAAAAAAATAAAATAAAGATGGAGATTTTTCTATTTATAGATAATAACCCATTGACTTACAAATAAATGGACGACGGGTCTAATACAAAAACCACGAAAAAAATGTCCCAAGTCAACCTATTCGAAATTTAAATTGTTATGTCATCGCAGTATCGCGCTGTCCGTAGAACAAATGAAGACTAAAGCGGAGTGTCGCGCTCTGTATACGAGTTTAGCGCCTTACAAGTGCGGACACTTTTTAGCGCGGACCCGACGTCCATATAATTGTAAGTCAATGTAATAACCATACAAATTCAACAACATTCAGTGGACACGGCCCTACATAGAACGAAGAAGGAGCTTAATGGAATCTATCACCTTACTTATACTATACACGGGCTTAAAAGTGGTAATTATCGAGACAAAACGCGTTTTCTATAAACATGGACAAATCACGAATAACTTACATTAAAATGTTATAACGTATAAACTTTACTTGAATGAACTCAAAATGTTCAGCAAATCAAACTCGGAGAGGCCAAAAGTGGTCCCACGTCCTGTTAGGACTAATCTCTTAATAGGCTATAAAAGTTTTATGAAACCCATAAAGTAAACAGTAACTAACTTAAGCAATTTATGCTCATTTCCTGCCTCATTAAGTCATTAAGATTTACGCATACAAATTTACATTTTCAATCAAATTATATAGTGTAGTATTCTTGTAGACGTAACATGTACATTCAGAACACAAGCTTGATAGTGTAAGCACATCAAACTGTGATGTGTTTAGCCTTCATTACAAGTTATCGCTAAAGTAATTGTGTAAAAGTTTTTTTCTATTTAAGCACAGCAGCTTTTTAGTGCTGATTAAGCACGAGTTTAGAAAGATTCTTAAAAAAGATATATAAAAATTCTAATTGCAAATGAAATTTAGAAACAATGATAAATTTTGTTAAGTGATTTGTAATGTTTGAAGAGGGAAAGATCCTTCCTTAAAAAGAAGAGGCAACAGCTTTCGAAAGAACAGGAATAACCTTCAAAAGGAAGGAAAGAATACATTCAATCAGATGACGTCAACAACGCTGTTCCCAGTTCGATACAATCAATCTGTATAAAATACCTGTAAGTGGTAATGAACACTTGGTACAGGTATTTAATAAAATATAAGATCAGATCCAAAATATACCAATTGAACTATGGGCGTATTTTCAAGAAATTTTCATTAAAAGTCACGTTTCTATGTTTATTTTTCTTTTCTTCTATTACGTTTATATATCTTCACGAACAAGTGAAATATATCGATAATTTTTACGACAGATTTGTTTTTGTTGAAGACAATGTAATAAACAGTAGAACTTTTTACAATGGACACGTAATCAATAAGACGAAATTAAAATACATACTCATATGGAAACCGAGTTTCTATACGCCATTCTACAGTCTTGATGGTCAACAAAGATTTATAGATAACAAATGCCAGTACCAAAACTGTTTTGTGACGGGGGACAAGGACTATTTGCCTGATATTACTGATTTTGATGCTATAATCTTCAATGTACGTCATATGCAAAGCTTTCAGCATAATGATGTACCAGTAAAAAGGTCGCCGAAGCAAATATATATATTCTATGCGATGAAGTCAGCTGAATATTTTACTGTATGTGACAAAGAATATGATGGTTTTTTCAACTGGACTGTGACTTACAGACTGGATTCTGATGTACCCGTCACATACTTTGAGGTAGGAGAACATCACTACCTACAGGTGCACGCAGAGACCCGTACACCCGGCACTGTTTTCAATTAACTTGCTATTGAATATTACCTGAAAAAACTTGTTGAAATTATCCCCTGTGCAGCGAGACGTATCTGTTACGTAAACAGTCACTCCTCCCGCACCGCGCATCTACCTCAGGAACCGACTCCGTTAAGTGTAGCCTGTAGTGACTATTTGATTTGCGGTACTATTTCAAGAACGTGTTAAGAACCATGTTAGAGAGGTATTGCTACAAAACATTCACAAGTGTACGTAAGTTAGAAATTAAACTCAAAGGGCCAAGCATCATCCTCATCATCACAACCTACCATCAGTAAAATAGAAATATAGAAATATTTTTTTTGTATTTATGTTACGCGATAACTTGTGAACCGCCTTTGATGATTATTTTTTTGTTGGAAAGTGGGTACCTCAGTAGTGGTCCCAAATAAATTTGAAGGGAATATTCAACCTCTAAGGGTAGCTGTTCACGCAAGAAGACTCATTTCTATAAATAGCGCCTAAAGTTTATACGGAGCAATTATTTTAATGGTTGATTTTGCTATGCTCCAATTGAAGGCGTTTTTCTCTCTCAATATACTTTAATTTTACTTTTAACTTCAGTGAGAACCGATTTTATAGTGACGAACTAGGGGATGAATCCAGGTTTACGTACTTTCCGGTAACAAATTTCAATAATACTTTGCAAATAGATGTAATTCCACGAACTTTTGAGATCGGCTTTTTTAGTACTCTGCACTGAGATTATATAATAATAACTTTACTAATATTGATAAAGATAATAATAACATAAGGATTTGGAACTAAATACTAATACAGAGTACAAAGCATGTGTGCTGTGGTGCCAAGGAAACCGTAACCCACTCAGCTTGTTCTCGTCGACACTGATTTTCAGCGGATCCGGATAAAAAGTAAACTTTAACTGCATTTTTTCAGGTATTAGACAAAGCAGGAGAAGTAATAGCCCCAAAATTAAATGTCAAATGGAACAATGCTTCTGGAGAAATCACAAGATTTTTGGCCAAAAGGTTAAGTGGCAAATTCAAAGCCGTGGCTTGGTTTGTGTCGAACTGCTACGCGAAGAGTGAGAGAATGGCTATGGCAAATATTTTGAAAGAGTCCATGGTAAGATATGGCATGGATTTGGATATTTACGGTAAATGTGGGCAGTTGATTTGCCCAAAATCGCAACAGGAGGATTGTAACAGGATGTTAAGAAACGATTATTATTTCTATTTGGCATTTGAAAATTCATTTGCTTTGGACTACGTGACGAAGAAAGTACTACTAGCTTTTGATAACGACGTTCTACCCATTGTTTTTGGTGGGTCTGATTATCACAAGTACGTATTTGCTTCTTGTTAGAGAATAATAACCCAATTGGTTGCGCTGAAAATGATATTCCAATTTACCTTGCGAAATATGGACCATTTATACTAGCTATGGTTGATTGAATCAATATTTACTTCCTTGTTTCATCCCTTTCCCGCACATACCTCACTCCCACGCAAGAGCTAGACAACGTCACCCAGCTGGTGACACCTGGCGGACGAAGAAGAAACTCTCGCTTACCCCAGTTCCTTCTCAAACGAAGTGCAAATGGCCGCACGCGCAACAGCCTCCGTTAGAAATCATAGTAAAACCATACTAAACTGAAAACTATAGTGAATAGTGAACGTACGTTTTGGTGAACTTGTTGTTGCTCCCAGCGTACCTACTGTTATTTGTTCCAAATTTCCAATCAACCATACTTATTTATTCATATACAGTCCACAAACCCGTAACTAAATTGCGGCACCAATTATTATTTCAGACAATCACACAAATTTAAAAAAGTAGTGCTCCTTTTGAAAGAGTTCGTCCATGCAAGCATTTTTTATAACATCAGGTGATGGGACGAACAAGTCATGCACCTGATGGTAAGCTACACGCCTGTCCGTAACAGTTGCAGTGCCTCTGAAATTGACAAGTCCCATGAGCCTGTATATGTGATGTAATTTTACTAGCACCCTGTCGCGAATCACGCGATAATCAATCATTTGGAGAGTAAACGAACTTCACCCAATTTTTGTATTGTGGTAACACTGCTTTGCCTTTGCTAACTTTTTATTTTGACACTATCGAGACGGCAGTAACGTCAACGGCAATGACGAGGAACCGTAGAGTGATAACTTACTCCACATGCGTTTCACCAGAGTACCTTTTGGTATAATATCTAGTCCATTTCTTCTCACTGCTACCATTAGATATCATATCCCAGCACCTCCACCAAATTTTGTCGCCACTTTGTTTTTTATTGGATTTAGACTAGACTGTAATACCTATGTACCTGGTTCAAATATTCTCAATGTAGATGTTGAGGGACGACAAAAGATACTTAATTTATAGGTATACATATAAGACGGTGGAAAGACACACAACTAAGATTGCCGTTGACGTTACTGCCGTCTCGATAGTGTCAAAATAAAAAGTTAGCAAAGGCAAAGCAGTGTTACCACAATACAAAAATTGGGTGAAGTTCGTTTACTCACCAAATGATTGATTATCGCGTGATTCGCGACACACCCATTACCCTTCAAAGCCAGAATACAGTAGTGCTGACATTACTGCTTGGGGGCAGAAATAGGTAAGGTGGCAGTACTTCCCTGGACTAACTCTTTGACAAGGTGCTCTACTGCTACTATAACATTACTGCGTTCCAGTTTGAAAAGTAAGTGAAATCACAAGCTCATGGGGCTTGTCAACTTTACGTCTCAGGGTGACAGGTTCACTTGCAGTGCCCCTTAGGTCTTTGTGATTTAAAGCTCTGAGTGGCGCTGCAACTATTATGGGTAAGTGTGTCGCTTACCACCAGTAGGGCTAACACGATAGGGGGCGCGAATTGCCGAAACCGAAGCCGAAACATATTGAATTGCAAAAGTGGTCAATAAAAGAAGTAGCCATTTCAAGAAGTGTTCTTTTCCTTTCGGCGGTTTAGGGCCACAATTAAAAAGGACCAATTTTCAAATTGATAATTTCTTCAATTGACCATTTCTTATATACGTAATTTTTATTTTTTTTTTATAATAATAATAACGCACACACTCAACATAGCCCCGCACTAGGGAAACCATGTGTCGCAGGTGCCATGTACACACATAGACAACCACAAATTACACCCAAACTCACGAGAGAAATAAATGTAGGCCATACACATATTTCTCCCGGCCTGGGAATCGAACCCAGGACCTCTGCATGGTAGTTCGGCCACGGAGGCAGTTTATAAGTATAATTTGGTCTAATTATAAGTATAATTTGGTCTGAACTCGCTAGTTGGGTCTTTTGTTCTTCCGGAAGCAGTTTTAGCATACCACGTTTGAAGCGCCTATAACATATTATCTACCATTTTTCAACTTAAAAAGTCTTTGGTTATAAAAAAGCGCTTTTTTTCCAGATTTCTACCACCCGGTTCCTACATTGACGCAATGAAGTTCCCTTATGATCAATTAGCATCCAAACTTAACGAAATAATTAGATCTCCTAAACATTATTGGGATTATTTTAAATGGAAAACGCAATACGTTGTCCGTAGTGCGGACGCAAGTAATATTTGTTCCTTATGTGCCGCCTTAAATAATGAAAGTATGTATAAGAATAAAGTGTACAAATATTTAAGAATGTGGTGGCACCCATATTACGAAGACCGTTGTACGATTATACCAAATAATTTTAGTGATTACGCTGATGGTTTCAAGAAATTACCTCCAGAATATCATACACAAGCCGGAATAATAATAATTTAAATATTTAGAGTAATTAGTTAATTAATATGTTTTTAATTTTTTCTATAGTCCATTTGTTTGGGTACTTAATTAAATGTAAACAATCATACAACTGTAATTCAAATGTAATTTCAATAAATATTTTAGAAAATTTCAAATAACTACAACCAAATCATTAAGTTACAGGTTTCAAAAAAATAATAACACTGACATATTAATTCATTGACTATGATTGAAATTCATTCAAGAATCAGTACCCGCATAAAATTATCGAAAACTTTTTATCGATATAACTCGTCTGTAGCAAATGCAGTGTAATGAAGTAACCTTCGTATGTTGTCGTAAAAAGGTACAGATTTTTTTGAAAAAAAATATTTTCCGCTCATTTCTCACAAATAAACATTGATTTGATTGATTTGATTTATTTTTACGTTAATTAATGTATTTACTTAAACAAAGGCTATTTATTTAGAAGCGAGGCTTATAAAAATAGTTTATGAAATACGTAAAGTAGTGCACGTCGTTACAAGGTTATATTTTGCAGATTTTTATTACCTGTCACAGAGATCATCCTAGATTATTTCTAGTATAGTGGAGTTATTTCATAAAAAAGAAATATGAATACCACGGTAAATAAAAACATGATATCGTCTCTTTAAAGGTAAGACCACATAAGTGAAATTTTCCACAAAAAGTCTTTAATTTAATTATCTATGGTAAGAAAATCACTATCTTTCTGCACGTGAAACTCGATAATAAAAAAGCTATGAACTTAATAAGAGTTTTATCTGTAGGAAGATGATGAATTTCTTACAACTGGTACATAATTTGGAGATCTTTTTGTGGAAAACACTTATGCGGTTTTACGATTAAGCAGACGATATTCAATATAATAAATATAGAACATAAAATGCATAAGTTAATTCAATATATTTAATAAAAAGCACTTGATATATTGTAAATAAAGAAAAAACTAAGAGCTTTCACGTATAGGAAAGAAAAAATAAGGCAAGACGGCCTAATTGAATAAACGTAGGGGAGGGTGCCTCAGGGCGTCGCTGCGCAAATCTACTTACTAACCTTTGTATTGAGTATGGGAGCTACGAGCGACCTAGATATGAGAATAAAATGCTTTATAATAAATATATTGGTTTCATATAACCACATAAAATTCGATAAATTGTATTAGGTACAGTGAGCTACACTTGAAATAGTATTTTATGCCTCGTGGCCTAAGTAATAGATACGAGATTTTAAGATCTAATTATATATTATGCGTACAATACTTTTTCTACGATAAATAAAATAATTAAACAGAACCAATTTTATATGTATATTTTGTTAACAATTCATGAGAATAAACGCTATTTTTTTAAATAAATTTTAACTCATTGATTGGGGTAGGCAAAGGTTCTACCGTATAACCTCTTCATTTAAATAAATGAAGATCAAACAAACGCTACAAAACAAAAAATCAAAGAGATGGATTTTACGTGGCCAAGTACCGCTTAATTTTTTTTTATTTAAGGTTTATGGCCCGGTTGCAAGATTTTTAGGCTAATTTGAACAATCTGGAGGCAAAATAGAATTGAGTAGCGATATTGATATTTTAATTAGCAAAAATAACCCGTTCTTTTTTTGAATCTTATTATAGTTCTGTGTATAGAACTCTAATGAAACTTTTCAGCTCAATAGCGAGTACCATAGGCAATAGAATTTTGATTCATAACTAAAAAGAGCGCCTCTATTACAATTATGGTCTATGAAATTATAAATGACAGATTATAATACAGGAGTAGAAAAATACTTTTAGATACTTTGTTGAAAAGTGCAGCTTAAAAGTTCTAAGAATATAAAACTATTTTTTCGGAATCAAAACGCTTGTTTGTTTTTCAGATATTTGTTTTTAGAACATACCAACGTTTCGGGCCCTTTACAGGTCCCATCTGTCAGCCGTGACCATATGATCTGTGAAAAGTTTAAAACGTTGGTTTCTTCAAAATAATAAATATCGCACCCGTGGTATAATAATGTCAAACTCAATAATGTCAACTGCATAATTACAACTTTCCAGGACAGAGGGTTCCAGATTCTACGAATAGGATTAGTGGATAACTTTTATATGCTTAACACATAATGTGTTTCATGTCGTTTGTATTATTTTTATGATTTTCATATCATAGAAGCTCTTTAACGTATGATCGACCACAACATGTACAAATTAGTTTCATTTCCAATTTTAAACTCAAAAGGTTCAAAATGTCATAGTTTGTAAAGCTTAACCTGCAGTTGACTGTAAATTTAAGGCAAGTTGCATTAGGATCCGTCGCAGGATCTCTATTATAACAATTTTATGAATAAATATAAATTTGCATAGTAACAAACGCATAATGAAAAACGTTGTTTTTTTCTAAAACACAAAACTATAATAAACCTAAATAATCATAGTACCGGATGCTACTAAAAATCCGGCCTCTAAAGTTATTCATCCCCTAGTTTGCCACCCTTAGAGGTGGATCTTCAAATTTCTTCTAATCTTCAAATTTAAATGGGATTACTACTGAGGTACCCTCTCTCCAATAAAAAAAGAATCATCAAAATTGGTTCACAAATGCCCGAGATATCGCGTAACATATACACAAAAAACATACATATGAATCGAGGATCTCCTCCTTTTTTTGAAGTCGGTTAAAAATTTGTGACCCTATTTATTTGCTCCCAAGTGAGCATAGAGCTCTTAGTTATTTCAAACTCTAGAAGGACAGAAACTACGAAACATTTCCCACACAAAAAAAAGAGAACGAATGCGTGTCGATTGACCGGAAATAGTAGCCTCGTGTATTTACAACTTCCGGTCGGGTTTGGCGGGAAACCAATTAATAACTTTTATGGCTTCCGGTGCGAGGGTCTCGGACAATTAGCGCTCTCGTAAAAATCTTCACGGCTGATTGGGATTTTTGGAGTAATTGCTGATTCTGCAGAGCTTTTATTTTTCATTGCTTTCAGTATTTACCATTGGTTCCAAAAACGAGGTGAGATTTAACGCCGTTGTTTGGCTATCAGACTTATGACGTTGTAAATAGTCAAGAGAGTGTGTGCTAAAAAGCCCAAATAAGAACGACTAGCATCTCCCAAGATATGTTACTTTTACCATGTTTACTAAAATCATATAACAAGTCTAGTAGTACAATAACCCCATACAATCGTAGCAGCGCTGCTTGTCAACGGATCAACGGATGCTGATGTGGATGCAGATTTTTTGACCATCCACATCAGCGGACACTCTATTGAGACTCAACTGCCTTTGCAACTAGATTTTAGCAGAATAACAAGCATTATCATAATTGCGATATAATCTGAGTGGAGTCTCATGAATTGGGTCGCTGCATTGATGAATGCGGATGCTGATACTGATATTCGCAACAATCCGCGGCGCGCGTCACGTGTGAACGCACGCTTTCGCATAATAGGGAGCTATTATGCAAATGCGTATTTATTTGCATTTTGCATGCCATACATTCGCATAATAGGGGGCTATTATGCGAATGCGTATTTATTTGTTTCTTGCATGCCACATATTCGCATAATAGGGGGCTACGCTTTAACGAACTCTTTCACAAGGAACCCTGTTAGAAGGAGTACTGTTTTTAAATCTATCCGAACGAAGAAGGACGTAAAAAGTCTGCCCTTTATAACGAAACTCCCTTTTCTAGTCTGTCTGATACAATATTCTCTTAAAGATTCTTTTTCTGTCACACGGATTTTACTTTGAAACGCGTTACACGTACACATCTCAAGAATCTAAGATTTTTATATAGATGTTTTTATTGACACGCGTTATGTTTGATGTCACGGGCCGTCCAACCCAACACACAGATTGATACGCATGCAGATCACGGTCCGTGCTAAAGAAAAACCGGCCAAGAGCGTGTTGAATACGCCCATGAAAATGTTCCACAGCTATTATGCATGTCATGCTTAATAGGGTTGGTGTTAATGTTATTTGTGGACCCTTAGAAAAGGAATAGCCAATACAATTAACAAAATCGTAAAGAGTTGAGATGGCACTTTTATTATCTAAAAGTCATGAGTAACAACTTAAAACATCAATATTTGTAAATTTTGGCTATTTGTGCACGCTAATCTCCAGAATAGCTAAACTAATTTGAATATGGTTTTCGGTACTACCTTGAGAAAGAATTAAGTTAACAAATATTGTTTGTTTTATTTTAATCTATTAACAAACAAAAAAGATATATCAATTTCATGCACAAGTCGGTACGAAGTACATACGAGTACGTTGACCAATCGATTGGATATCCCTACGTCAAAATTGCGTATTATGTACTATAGAAATATTTGTCATGAATAAAACTACAAAAAATAGGCGACATGATATACCTAACTTTAATGTTCCAGAGCACAAAAATGGTTGATGAAAACTAACAGAGATTCCAACAGATGAACACATTTAGAATATTTAAGTGATGTTTGCGGAATGAATGATGCACAGTTCAAACATGTTCTTTTTGTAATGTCTTTTTTGTGTTATTAATACACGGTTCTACACCAATGGTCTAAATGCACCAATTAAAAAAAGTCTGTGATGTACAGACAGACGAATAGAAAGCCATAAAGAAACTAGAGAGATTCTTAGTTTCACTATGGAACCTTAAAACACATCTTTGATGATTGTAGACTCTATAATGTTTCACTTCACCATTTGTAAGAAAAGCGTCCAAAACAAAAGGAAATATCGACAAACACTGCTAATTCCAACCACGCACTCGTCTCGATGTGTGCAATGAGCTTCGCAAACTTTTCTAATTAACTTTGCCGAAGTTTTTTCGTTAACATCCTTCGGACGGGAGTGGCTTTTGTTGTACTTTTAATGTTATCTTTACTTTGACGATGTGTGCTATTTATTTTCTTTATGTCGAGAGGCGAACGTCTCTAAACTAAGATTCATGGTTAATAAATTACTGGTGTTTTGTTTAGTTTG